TGCATGTGTGCACAATTTCTGGATGATTTAGGGGAAAATACGTAGAAACAGATGTACATGAGGTTTTATAAATCTGAAAAAAAGACATGTTTCCTGTTTCCTGTGTAAATATACATGGATTTTTCTGCATCTGGCCCCTGGTCGGCCATCTATTGGTTAAGATTTGGTTTAATTTAGGCAACTAAAACAACTTGGTTACAGTTTGGTTATGAAAGCTGTCACTTTCATGGTTAAAATAAACAAGCGTCCTCTATCAGTCCAAGATGGGATGTGAACTGTGGTGTCCAGAAATGTCACGGTCACGGCTTTACCACCTTCCGTGTGACTGTGTAATGATGTCATGCTACTTCCTGCCTTTGCTACAGAGATAGGACACTGATACTGTCCTGGCCTGCGAGAGGTTATTTTTGTGTTTAAACAATCCTCTTTTTTTCTGGTGAGATGTGAGAGATGAAACACTGCAAAATACTGACAGAGAGATGATGGGGCGGCAGTAGCTCAGCGTGTAGGGACTTGGCTTGGGAACCGGAGGGTCGCCAGTTCAAGTCCCACAGACAAAAATATGGAGTGTGGACTGGTAGCTGGAGAGGTGCCCTTGAGCAAGGCAACCTAACCCCAAAACCTGCTCATGAGGCGCTGGTAACACGGCAGCCCCATCACTCCACCATCTCTCCCCTTTGCATGTCCACATGTCCACATGTGCATGAAGTGTGCATTTCAGCCTGTATAAAAAAAAGAGTGAAAAAACAATTTCCCCCTAGGGGATCAATAAAGTATATCTTATCTTATCTTAATGTAGAAATCAGAATCCTCCACTTTATTGTCAGTCATTGTATCCAGAGGTCAAACAATGAGACAATAAGGAATGTACCGTGAATATCACACAACAAAAAATAATACAAATGTCAGTATTACAAAATAAAGATTTTTTGACTGTAAAACTGTTGATGCTCACTTTGATTTAAGGTCATAATTGGGAAAATACCATAAAAGGATGCTACAGCAGTGTTACAGAGAAAATACACATTGTAAGAGTAGAAATTAAATTATATGTACATTTTTACAATGTGCAAACAAAACAAGCAAATGAGTGACAATGTCTTTCCAGGTTATGTATGAGGAATGATCACTGTAAACAAATATGTAAAATACACTCTGCACCTTCTTCAGTTATTTCTATACAGTACATGCTGCAGGATGGTGCAGGTGGAGCAGGGTACAGACACAGGTCTTAGTGGACTCTCTCTTGTAACTAAAAAATCAGGTTTGATTCCTGTAAAAGACCATAAAAAAACAGTCTTCTTCCTTCTCCCTCCTTTTAACAGACAAGTTCAATGCAGTTATCTGAGAAGTCAGGAGTGCTCAGCAGCATTGAACTTGTCTGTTAAAAGGAGAATAGAAAAATCTATACAGATCTACAAAGAGGTCTTGGTGCAGCAGGGCAGGGTGATGACAGTCTATTCTTTGAAGTCTTGTCTGTTTTCATCTTTCTTGCTTCCCTTAAGATCTAGATTGATGTATAATGGGTAGAAAAGGGTTGATGATGATGTTCATCCACCCTGTATTCTGTCTTGACTCAGTCCTTGATTTCTTCCTCTATGATTGCCTTGTCGTTCAGCCTCATCTCTTCTTCTGCCTCTATGCTGCCTGTCTCTGGTCCAGGACTCGGCGGCAGCAGCTCCATGTCTTTGCAGCTGCTGCTTGTGCTGGCAGCTCTGGCGATCCTGGTGAGTGTCTGTTCATACGGTGAGGGAAGGTAGACCATTAGGAACACGCCGTCCGTCACATCCTGCTCTGAGCTGGAACTGGGGAGCCTGTGCTCCCTACGACTGCGTCGGATGGAGGACAGCAGCTCGCAGTTCCTCTCCGGATCCTGCAAGTCCTCCAGGGCGATCACGTTGGCCAATCCCAGCTTGTTGTTGAGGTTGAAGCCACGCCTACGGCGCCACATAAGGAAGCCAAGGGCACTGAGAAAGAGGAGGAGGAAGGAGACGGATGCTATGGTGATGTAGGTGATGACTCTTGCACTCATGATGGCCTCTCCTGAGCTCTGGCCCTGTGAGTCAGACATAAATACATGAATGCATTCTTACATTTTTCTTGCATTAATTAATAAAATTCACAAGTAATCTTAACACATGAAGTGAATATTGTCATAACTAGTGTAGTGAGAAAAATAAATTATATTAAAAATTATCTTTGCCCATTAATCGTTTTAATGCTCATGTAGATTTTCATGTTTGACATACTTACTTGATAAAGAAAATTGACTTTTTCAATGTACTACACTGTGCTGTGTTTTTAAAGTAAGGTGATAAACTATCTGGTTGTTAGAGGGAAGTAAGTGACATCTGTGACAAAAACAGAATTAAAATAAAATAATAAGAAAAAAAATATATATTATTATTAAAGGGGATACTAAAGTTAGTTGATATTCGTACAACATCTGCCAACAGAGGGTGCTGTCAGTCACAAACAACTGTGGCCTCTCCGTGAATTAATATGTTCCAACTGCTGATGGTTACTGTGAGCACACAGCTACTGAATATAACTTACATTTGAACACTTTTTAAAGGTCTGAATGCATGATAAAGACCTGGTAACCTTTAAAGCAAAATTTAAAAACAAAATAGAGTAAATTTTTGTTGCAGATGTTGGAGTACAAGCATCAAAGAGTCACTGCTTCTGAAATAACACTAAAACAAAATATATAAATTATAAACCACATTTTTTTTTTGCTTCAGGGGACATGATCTGTGCAGGGGAAATAGTATAGTTTTAGAGACACTTGAAATGTTTAACTCCAGTGAGGATAGTGCGTTGGTTTTAGATGAGCTACAGTTAGTTTAGAACACAGCGGGATCTCTTGGATTAGAATTCAACGGTCTCTAAGTAGAGATTTTTATTTTATTCAATCAGTTGTATGATTGTATTTATTTTGGTGTAAATGGTCATAACAAGTGAAGTTACAGTGTGGACAACAAAAAATAAATAAATCCACATTTAATCATGCAGTTTTCAGTTACAACATAATGGAGGACAAAAGAAAAGAATATAAATTAGTTGGGCTTTGAAGTTCAAAATGAAAACTTCCAAATGGATCTTTGATTAACTCTCCATCGACCTAAAACAATCAACAATCAGATAAGGACTTTATCTGGCATTAGCATACCTTGTTATATAATCTCAGGCTGAATGCCAGAATGCCATCATTTTGCTGATACACTGTATAAAGCCAGAAGCATGTGCAAGCCCATGTTTTGATTTTCTGTCTTTACTGGATAATCCTTCACAGCTACACCCAAAGGTGACCGGGCTTTTGCTGTCCAGTGCCCCTCAGTTGTAGAACTCTCTGCCTAATGACCTCAGGCAGTATCTTCTTTCAAATCTCTGCTAAAGACTCACTTTTATTGTTTGGCTTTTTCTTAAATGATGGTATTTGTTGTAATCTATTGGACTATTTTATCCTGTTTATATTTTTATAGCTTTTACTATTGATTTTTATTGTAAAGCACTGTTTTTGTTATGCTATATTATTTGTAATGTTAGTTAGTAAATTTCCCCAAGAAGTTAATAGTTTACTTAGTTCTTAATGTATAAAAAATATAAAAAGTGTTTCTGGAAATACTTCTTTCTTTTTAGTTTTTATTTATGAATTAAATGATTAATAGATTAATGACTAAAAATAGTCAACAGATTCATGATGACAACCGTCCCAATCCACCCGTTAGATGTGGATACACTCACCGGTGCCTGTCTGTCGGTGGAGGGCAGAGCTGAGGGTCCAGGCGACCAGTCCAGAGAGTCCCGGCCGGCTGGTCCAAACTTCATCCAGCTGCTCTCCATCAGAGACCGCATGGTGGATGGGTGTAGGATCTGAGGCCCAGCCGGAGCCAGGGGCTACAGAGGCCGAGAGCAACTCGGAAGAGGTGCAGTGGATGTAGAGACGAAGAAGACGAGTCTGCTGTGAGCTCAGAGGGACACTGCCTGCAGAGCTGAAGTGATCAGCCTGAAATAATGACTGGGAGGGGGGAGGAGGGTGGGAGAAATGAGGGCAACAGACAGTCCGTGTGTCCAGCTGAGAGGAGACGCGTCACTGGTCCTGATGGGAGGATTTACAGCTGCTGAGAGCTGGTCAGCAGCAGCAAAACACAACCCTGTGAAAGAGTTCCCACACCTTCTAAAACATCACATTCAAGAACTCTTCAAAAACATGAAGTTCATGGTTTTCACGGGACAGGAAGGGTATAAAAACTGTAACCTGTAACGTAACTAAAGCTGTCAGACAAATGTAATGTAGTGGAAGTACATAAAATGGAAATACAGGTACAAGAACCTTCAATTTGTACTTGAGTAAATATACTTTGTTACATTCCACCACTGTCTGAGCGTTTACTGATCTGCCACCTCTGTTCTGTTTGTCAATTCATGGTTAAAAGAAGTCAATGATAAATGGTTGTAGAAGACAGGATGCAAACAGCGCTCTCATGTGTTAACACTTTGTTCAACAATACACTTGAGCCTCATCCTTAACACCACAAAGACATCACGGTACCTGCAGCTTGATTATTCCACTTTTGGCCAATCAGGATGTGAAGACACCCACATTTTTGAAGGCATAAGAGGTGAGGAACTGCACACCCCAGGGCCTTCTGATCCTTCCTGTTTGGTGCAGAACTCACTTCATCATAGACATAGCTCTGGTTTTAGGTCCCACTGAGATTTATTTGCTGTACAGTATTGTTACCTTTTGGGAAGGTTGGACCTGCATGTCAGCAATTTGAAACATTCAAAATAAATGTATATAAAGAACACACAAGTCACTGCATTTGCTGGATTTAAATACGTTCTAATATATGAATACCCCCAAGTTTCTCAACTAGATATTCCTCTAAAATCCATTTCTGACCCTGAGCACCTTTTGAGTATGAACAATTGTCATAAGTCACTGTTGGAGGCAGAACAGATTGCTCTCATAGACAGAAACACATGAGAGAAACTGCTTTTATTGTACAACACACAGAGCAGACAGGCCTTCTGGGAAAAGCGCTTTGAAACATACAGCAGTTACACAACTGTAAGACTGAGCTCAGGAGGAAAGAGGAAAGCCAGAGCAGGTCAGAAACATAAGAAGGAGAGATTACAGGTGCTTCTCTCTGATATCAAAAGCAGAAAAAAATACACTTTTAGAAATCATCACAGTCACAATATAAGCTTGACCTGCTGATGTCGGTCCGGCGGCGGAGCATTTGAGGTCAGTGGAGGAAGCAAACAGTCAAACTAGGCACCTGAATGAATGTGCGGAAAGCTTGTGTTCATATCAGGAACCTTCTGCACATTCATCTGCAGGGATACAGTAGGATGCCTCATACATTTTTACAGTCGTGCCGTTCCAAAAACAGCCTGAAAATCACACGCAGTCTCTCCTACATACCGGTGGTTGTTGATATCATCCAAAAGGACATAGACAGTGCGTTTGCATTAAATACCTCGTCTGAAGTCGTACCTATTTTATATTTTCTTCTCTCTCCGCTGACTGGCTTTGGTAAGAGTTTCACTAAGATATATGATTCGTTGATCTGAATGGTTGAAGTTCGCCGGTGATAGATGGCAATAGACAGATGGTTCATCCAATTCCAACCAACCTGCCAAGTATGTTTTTGAAAGTGCCTACCCTTTTACAAATAACTTCCCAGATGGTTCTGTATAACAAACCACCTGGCACAGTCAGGTTTAAAGTTGGGTGAATTAAATCAGCATTTACTGCCAAAATATGCCCGTTAAGAATTCTTCAAGAACACAACTTGATTACAATATGTAAATATGCCTATTTGATAAAAAGAGACTTCCCTTGGTGACTGGTGTGACCTTTTATTTCTCTGGTGCTATATGTTAATTATGACACCCTCGGTCATGTGATCTTCCACTTCAGAAACTGTGTCAGATGTCTGGGTCATGTATATAGTTTCTCCGTCAGTGTCTGACAACAGGGCAATGTTGTCAAAAGGTGGTTTGCTTTCACTCCTACGCTCTCAGACAGTCGCTCAGCCTCAGTTCATCAAACTAAACCCTCAGGAACTGATTTATCCAACAAGGCAGCCAGTGAGTCACACTGTCAGCCACACAAACAGTCACTCATCTACCTACTGAGTTCTAAAAAAAAAACTAGTTTAGTGATTTTTTTGTTTTCCACTTCAGCTATAGACTTTTTCCACTTTTTCAGCAAGTTCTTCTTTTTTAGCAATCTGTCTGCGCTCCGGGCTAAGCGAGTATACTAGGTCAATCTGTTCAGCGTCCCAGTAATCCCTTGACTGCACAATAAGACCAAACTGTAGATGATTTTACTGTAAATTATTAGTAGAAATGCGATTACAGTTTGCAGCACAAGGACGGAGGAAGGTACTGTTACAAATCAGAAAGCAAAAGAGCTTAAAATCTAGCAAAGACTTTCTCACAAAATCTTCCTGATGGAACAGACGACAATTGACGGATTTGGAGCTTCTCTTCAGAACTATGAACTATCCCCAAGTGCATCAAATCTGCTTAGAGAGGAGATGACGTTTGTGCTCGTGATGATTCTTCAGCGTGCCACAACCTCTACATTCATGATTCAATCTCTTAATCTCAGTGCTGCTACCTCACATATACATTAGTAGTAAAACCTTAAAAAAAGAAAAGAGGTGCAGACTAAAGGCTTTTTCTCCTCTTTGGAGGTTGACATGAGACACATAGACACACAAACAATATCCGTGAGACTGAAAGCAGGACAGTCACCAGAATGAATGAATGACTGAATGAAAACCAGGCGAAGCAACAGCATGAACTGTCGGTGCAGAATTGTTGCATGACACTGACACATTAGTCTTTTTTTAGATGGAAACGCTGTCATAGACTTAACACCAACTAAATCCTTCCCTTCACTGCTGCAGATCACACTGATGGCCGACAACATCTGTCCACTCGCTGCTCGCCCTCAAACAGCAGAAAATGGGGACAGGTCAGGGACACTGGGAGGGGCTGAGGGACAGCAGAGACAGGACAAAACAGAGAGCGAGACATGCGCATGCTGTGTGTCATTTACTGGACAATCAGAAATTGCTACTTTGTGGGAACAAAAGTGCAAAGGTCTCACCCTCCACTCAAAAATCTGCGTTTCCTCTTGTTCCTACAGCATGCTGCTGTCTGTGCAGAGTTTGACACTAGGAAGGATGGTTTTTCACATTCATCTGCTAGAAAGTGGAAAGGTTTCTCTGTGCTCATTTAAAATATGATTTTAAGGGGCGGAGCCTACGAGTATGATTTGTGACGTAAATCGTACGTAAATTATAAATTCATCATCCCAGTCCAGTATGCAGCTTATACAAATCTGACATGGAAACTTGAAGCCGCCAGAATGCACACACTGGGAACGGGCTTTACAGGGAAGTAGGAGACAGCAGGAAAACTAACAAAATGTGCATATTCATATATTCTGGAATTATTAGGGTAGAAGGAGTAGATGATTTTAATGTGGAAATTATACATTTGTTGCAAAAAAACATATCAGACACATTATTGTTTTAAGAAGATTACTTGTATATGTCTTAATACGTGTCCCGAGGGGATCTTTAAATGATTCTGGGCCCAGAGTTTTGCGTTCACAATGGTAGTTCTTTGCTTTTTTTCAGAGAAAATCAAGTGCTTCTGCCACCTAGACTTCTAAAGTTGTAAGGTTGTAAAGTTGCTACTCATGTGAGGACATTGTGTCACACACTTGGAGCACAGTCCGACCTGTGGCTACAGGTGAGTTGGACCTGCACACAAAGATGCAACAGTTTCTCAAGGTCTTTCATAGCAAAGGTGTAGTCGGAAATTTGTAACGCAGTGCTCCATGTTCAAAGTACTAAATCGGAACAGAAAAGCATCCATGTAGGAGTGGAGAAATTAGGATATAAAGGAACATATACCTTCTTGCATCACTTTGGTTTAGTGGGGGGTTGGACCCTAAAAGTTTAACCTCATGCATCAACAACCATGGCTGAATGATGAAAGTAGTTTCTCTGATGGCCACCAGATGCTTAACACAAGTGACTGGGATCACAATTAAGTTACTTTAATTAAGAAGAATCTCAAAAGACACAAAGGTGTAGCTGGAGCATTTCCTCACGTTTTCACATATCAAGACAATAGTGAAGCCTAAACTCAAACTCCAGAAAAACCTGTGGGTGACTGTCATCATTTTGGCCTCAACTTGCCTACATCTCCTTCAGTATCTAGTGTTGCATAATGACATTTAAATGATTATCCCTGTAACATGAAGGATAATGTTCTTAGGTGCCACTTATGTGGTGGACAGCTGGCCAATAAGAGGAACAAATGAGAGTGAATGGAGCAGCAGAAGGAGCCGGCAAAGAGAGAGCAATGAGTGCAGATGAAAAGGACAAGAGTAAATCTCCTTAGGAGCTTCAAGTGCCCCTCCCAGACCTGGCTGCCCTCAATATGGTCCGGGCTGGTGAAGTTAGCATCAGTTCACAACAACATTATCATTAACATTATCAACATTATCTTTTTTCATTCATTCATTCATTCAGTCACAATCTGTCCTGATTCAGCTCATTCTGCAAACCAGAGATCCAGTTATATACTGTAACTGTGTATCTCTTGTGGTATACTACTACACATTGGTAGAATGTAGGACTGATTGTCTCAAGTTCAGTAAGTAGGAAGGGCAAAATAGACTTTCTGATTTTTGTGATTTTGCTTTTTTTAAAATCATATAGCTAGGGATCCTCTACATCCCTATATTCCCTTCTCAAATGTAACAATGTGTTGGCTGTTTTACTGTGGTAAACAGCTGTAGCAGTTTTGTTACAAAAGCAGGTGGGTATTTAGTGTCTAAGGATGGAAAATCGATATAAACTGATGATCCTGTCCATATCTTGAAACTCCAACAGCCTTAACTTCATGCATTGGTCTCGATGAAGAACATTGCCATTATAGAAAAAAAAGTTGGTAAAGGTGGCTCTGATGTAAAGCTGTATCAAGACCAGACCAATCTACATATGTAGACCCAGATGTATATTTAGTATCCGCTCCTATGGGAATCAAACCCCTAACCTGATAGTGTCAGTAGTGCCTTACTACTACTGAGTACTGTTAAAATCTCAAATCTTCTCTTAAACAGAAAGAAGAAAAGCAAATGGCACAGTATCAGATAGTATAAGCACACAGTGCACCAAGTGGTAAAATATGAAAATCAACTCTAAAAATAAAACAAAAGAAAATGCTAAATATGACACATATTTTAAATAAAGCATTTACATAAATACATGTACACACATTAAGCAAAAATAACATGTAGTATATCATAGGCATTAAACATTAAAATACACATACTGTATGTGGTATTTGGTTAAAATAAATACTTGATCTCACTCCAGAAAGTGAACAATAAACAAAGACATTCAGTTGAAGGAGAATGAGACTGCACAGTATTTAAAGCTGCATATAGAGATTGCATGGCGGCAACAAACATTCATATACAATTGGAACAAATGCGAAACACATCTCCACCGCATGTAATGTGGCCTCACTCTCTGACTCTGGAAAAAATAAAATAAATTTCAACTTTAATCATGTGACCTCATTTTAGCTGGATTCTGTGGCTGTGATCTGTCGCTGTTGTGTTTATGCATATGGATGTTTCCCCCTTATATTATCTGTTGAGGAAGTGAACTGGCAGGGTTTGGTAGGCCACCCACAGTTCTTGCTATTAGTCCCCATTGTTATCATAACCAGTAGTAATAATGGGATGAACGTAGATAAGAAAATTGATTTTTTTGACATTTTGTAGTGCTATGGAGCAATATTTTGATGAGCGAGTGTCTGTTGTTTGGATATTCATGCTCTACAGCAGCGATTCTCTCTGATCATCAACACCAGTCATTCTTCCAAAAAGTTCATTTGAATTGATTTTAAACAGGTATCAGTTAACACTATGGACTATATAAAAGTGGATATATTTTTTCATAAAGTTGAACTGTCAGTGTTTTGATTTATTTCCATTTGTACAAAAACTGACAAACTGTTACAGTTGACTCAATGACTTAGTTGGGCAGCTGTGGCTCAGGAGGTAGAGCGGGTTGTCCACTTATCAGAAGGTTGGTGGTTTGATCTGCAGTTTCTTTCATGTACCCCCTGGGGTACACTTGCATGTATGCATACATGCACAAGGGTGAAGTGATACACAATTCTGCTGACTGCAGAAGGCAAAAGTGTTTAGTGTATGGAAACCATAAAACATAAAGGTGTTGAACAGGAGAAACATAAAATGGAAAAATCTAATGTCATGTTACAGAACTCGCCAACAGTGACTGCAGCATACTAACAAATTTAGCAATCCTCTGAATGTAAATAAAGCTGTTTTTACTTACTAGCAAACTCCACAGGTTACCTTTTTATAAAGCGTTGATTCGTTAAAGGGAAAAGTATGCATGTGAACTACAATAATCATAATTCATTGCACATGATGTCTGAATCCACATGAGGATGAAGCAATAATTCAAAGTAATTATTTATGGCCTTAGTGGAGGCATATCGTGATGATATAGTGATAAAATGACAATAATGTGACAAGAACATGAGCAATTCTGCAAATCCGTTTTTTAAAACTTAAGCTTTGACACTCTGTGTGTGTGTGTGTGTGTGTGTGTGTGTGCGCGTGCAAATGAACTACTTCAATTGAGGAACAAGAGGCAGAAATGGCACATTCATGATCAAATCATTTCCATTACGCACGAAAATACCTTCACACACTCAATCCTGGATTCTTCTCACCACATTCTGCATTGGCCAATCAAATCCTCCGACTTAATGTCACATGATGTTCGCCAGTGTCCTCCCTGTTCTTCCCTCCCCGTTCCACCAGTCAGTAACATTGGGACGTTATGATGTCACAGCCTGCCATTTCTCACCCTTTGCATTGCACCATCAGCCAATCAAACCCTTCATTATCTACGGTTACATGGTGGCATCAGACCAATCAAATTCATCTTTCATCTGGTTACGTCCTTTGCTGACAGACAGACTGAGCTCCTCCTCCGCAGCTTTTGCATTCCTTCGCTGCAGTGTCACAGAATGATGTCATAGAGTCTGCCGACGCGACCCAGCCAATCACACAATGCCTGGCGGACGCGGCCGTCGGTCACGTGGCAGGAGAGCTGGCTAAGGCAGGGGTAGAGCGCCGGCTGGAGTGCCAGGAACGAGGAATCTGACAGGCGGAGGACCTGATTGAGGAGAGTCAAGACCATGTTGGTCCACGCCTGCAAACAGAGAAAAAACTATTTCAACAACAAAGCTCAATACACAAGCAGACTGTCTTGACACACACACACACACAACTAGCTATCTATCGATGATGTAGATTAGTTTGCTAGTTCAATGCGTCTTGCTAACATTTTAACTTAAGATGTTACGATATTATTATTATTATTATTATTTATCTTTTAACCATCCTCAACATTTGGTTGTCTTTCAACACAGACGAGCCTAGCAGATAGCAATAAGTAAAGGAAAGGAGAACGTTGACTGAGGCTTGCTCAACTGTTATTGGAGCACAGAGCAAAAAGGAGTGGGACTTAGGAAGTGTCAATTACACACACGACCCTATACAATACCTGTATCTGAGCCTCAGAGTCCCTCAGTGAGATGCTGTGGGAGCTGATGGTGGATCCTGACCGTGGTCTCTTCTCCTGCCTCAGGACCTCAGGTCCCGCACTTACTGAGTGCCTCAAGGGGGGACCTTGCTGGTCCACCAGATGCTGGGGCCTCTGTGGGGGCCTTTGTGGCTCCACGTGGCCCCTCCTCTCTCCAACACCGCCTCCAGCTGCCGCCGCCCGGCCCTGCTCCTTCATGAATAGATTGACGTGGCTCTGCTGCGGCTGCTGTTGCTGCTGTTTCCTGCGTTTGTACTCCATCATTAGCTTGCTGATGGTTTTGTCTGTGGCGATGGTGTACAGTTTGTTGCCGGCGCTTTCCCACCATTCCTTTCTCCTTCCAGGTCCAGTGCTGCCAGGAGTTCCTCCAACTGAGCTTCCCATGATGCTGGAGTCCCTCCTCTCGCCATCAGTCCGGAAGTGGTGGGGCAGACTGCCTGTGCAGCTGTGAAACAAGAGGAAATGGTTGCTTTAACTGGACAGGTGACTGTACACTTCAGAACAAAGAGAATTGACTCACACTAACTTACTACAATTAAAACCCATGATGTAAAGTCGGTTCAGTGTGACCTTCATTTTCTACCACACACCACATGACCAAAGGGATTTTGGGGTTAACAGGAGGTGGAAATCAAGGCGGCAGACTTTACTGTAGATAAGAATGGTGGAAAGTTAATTTTATTTATCCCCCTGGTCCCCTAATGGGACTTGTGTAAGAGGATATCATGATT